ATTACAGACTAAATTTAATTAAAATTTAAACGACGCAAAGTGGATCATGTTGTACTTTTTTATTGTAACGAGTTAAACGACTACATTTTACATAATAAAGTATGATCCAGTAAGTAGTCTACTTCTACACTACAGCATAATAGTTTAAGGCGTTAGTAGAATCTAAGTATAACCAAACGGTTTAGTTTAACTGAATTCCGGTGTTATTATTATAATATATAGTTAAGGGCAATCACTGTGCAAAGTTTGACCAATGGTATAGGCCTAGACAGTATATTTTGATGTATGGGCAGTCTTAACCCGTTGTAAAACGATCGCGGTGGCCAAGTAAAAAATATTAAAGTATTTGATTTTGAAGTAATATCCAACTGGCATGCAATAAATGTGTGGTGATATTCAGAGAAGTTATTTAGATCTAACTTAAATTTTAAAGTACAGGGTGGGCAAAAAGTCTGGGCACCAGACCTCCAGTTAAAACTTAAAGATACTTTACCGGAAATAATTTATTGACGTGTTTACATATCATATATTGACACAGACTAACAAAAAGGTAGACTGATAATCCAAAATGTGTCTCTTAGCCATCATTTTCATGACATTGGATACATCTCTATGTGCGATGTGACAACCTCCTTAGCAGATTACTAATAATTTTACAGTCAACAGCACAGATCTGTTGTATACACACACTCAGTCTTACTAAGTTTTTGTACTGAAGTTAAGTCTGGGAAATGCCAATGTCTGTTTGACTCTGACAGATCAGAGTGCAAAGTGATGTTCATATGAAGAATAAAAATACTTTTGTCCATAGTACAGTTTGCAAGTTGTATTTGTATAACCTCTAGAATCTCCTAAATGCATGTCTTGAGACTTTCAGTATCCCTGTATATTTTACCTGGTATTTCCTTAACTCTAACATGAACTATTGCGAAATTAGCAATGTAGGGTTACATGAAAAATTTAACTGATATCAAACACATAATATCATGTCGAATGGCATTCTGTACAAGGTTGAGGCATGCACACTTTGACCCCCAACCATGTACATATTGTTAATTCCTCTGGTTTGTATTATCAAATTCAGAGTTAAAGACAACTCAAGGAGTTTATTTAGAAATAAATAAATATTTAGTAACCTATTACTGGTGTAGTATCCATTGTTTGCTATGATAAGTTCCTTAGTATGATCCATGGTGTTTAATCCATTTTTCATATGAAAGTTACTGCTTTCTTAAAGTAAAAATACCCTTTTAAAAATAATATTGTTTGGAAAAAAAAAATTCTTCAAGTTCTTCAAAAATTATTGTATAGTAGATTATGAATCAACTTCCAAATTTTTATTGTAAATGTAATTTTTTATTAGATTCATTCCTACAATTTATTGAAGTAGGTATAGTTTTGTATAAGTATTTTTATAGCACATAATGTCCTCCATACTCCCCCCCCCCATGATTTCAGCAGTATTGTTGAGTATGCACAACCCAAAGTGCATTATTTTTCAAGACGAATAACAGAAGATTAAAACAGTACCGTATTCAATGACTTTAAGATGTTTTCTGATAAGCTTATGGGCCAATTTTCACAAGATATATACTATGGAATACTGAGAACTGCCATTTTATTAAGTAATAAAATCAATACAGACCAACAAACAGTGAATTCTTAACAGAAATTTTTAATAGTTGCCTTCACTGACAGTTGACAAATAAAATGTGCTAACCTTTGATTCATGACATAATGTTACATGGTAGTAAATCAGTCAATAATTGTTTACATCAATAATACATTATGAGATGATAATGTTAGATATTGCAATTACAAGAATACGCTTTTTAATTTTATCAGGCCTATTATAATTGAGTATTTTACTTTTAGTATGTAGACTGCCAATTTTAATTTTACCTTTTTGCTATAATCTGCTACATGAAATCAAGAATCATTAAAGATAACATTTTTCTTTAACCTAAGATATGTATATAATATCCATTTATATTTTTTACCAGTCTCCTGAATTGGAAGTGACTGCATACAGGACCTTAGTGAATGTATTTTTCTCTCAAAAAGCTATATATGTACAAGACCATTGTAATTTGTATATATACTTTTCTTCCTAAACATCCTGGGTTTTAACAAGTGCAGTTAGGTTTCTCTCCTTACAGCCAAGTATGTGTATGTACAAGATAATTGTGTATATAGTCTGTTTTTCCATTATTTACATGTATTTAACCTTTTAAAACAAATTTACATAAGTGAAGGTTGGTTATGTATTCTTTGTTGTCTGGTTTAATTACATTTTCAAGGTAAATATTTGGATAGAATGTGCAGGAAAGATAAACAATTTGTGTACAAAAGCAGGAAATATGATAACTGCAAAGTTTACCAGAAAACCTTTAAAAGCTTTAGACAGTAAAATGTGTATCAGATAAGCATAGTGGTTGGAGTTTCAAACATGTAGACCTCAGTAATGAGAAACAAAAATGAATCTTGTCAAGTGTTATGATTTGGTTAATTATTTATATGCTGAATGTGATATTTGTTTGTAGAATGAAGCTGATACATTTAACTGAAGGTTTTATTATGCTTTTACTTTGAAATTGGTATTTTACTGGTAGAAAAGAAGTGGTTTCTTGTGATTTGATTAAGTTAAATATATTTGGTGCAAACCAGTTGATTTTTATTTTTTGCATTCCAGAATTACAACTTCTCATCTGTACATTAAACATGAATTGACAACACCATTTGAAATACGTCTAGGAATGGATAATCACATATTCATTTCAGAAGAGTTTTAATGACATTTTATTGTTGGCATTTAAGATAAAACTTCGTTTTAGTCATTATAAAATGATACTGAGAGTGGTCAAAAGGTTAGTTCATTTTGTTATTAATGTACTTGCGCTGTTTATGTAAAAGGTGCATTGTACAAAAGATTGTGAAAATAATTGATATGTGCTATGTTTTTTAAAAAAAATTATGTAAAAATTTAACAGTTTAACAATTTAATATAAATTTAAAAAAGAGAATTTGATTTAGAATTATTTTAATAGATTCAAATTTAGTTTTGTTCTAAATAGTAGGTAAAAATGTTGTAACAGGCTGTTATGAAAGAAAATATTGTTGTAAAGTTGTTCTTTCATTGGCAAGTTCTTTTAAATTATCTGGTGAAAATAATGTGAGGTCCAGTTCACATATCAATGAAAACTTAGTTTATTTCTTTCTTAACGTTCTTACAAGCTTAAACATTGTGGTAACTTGCAGTCCACACTAACAGCCATGCTAACTGTACAACACTAATATAAAGATAATCTTACTTGTACAACTTCATGGCTGATCACGTAAGTAATTGAAAATGAACACTGACTTATTTATTACAAGCTGAAATAAAAACATTGACTTATTCACTCTAATGACTAGATACAACTAGTCAATTTTCTTGATGCTTTGCTGAACCTCATATTTATAATCTATTACTTGAATGTGCTAGAAAATCTGACATCAAAATTTTTAGAACTTTCTAAGCGTATGTTATTAAACTTTGATCTCAACATCATGTGCCCTCTAGTTAACATCTAAATTACAGTACGAGTTGTTGTTTTTCTTTTATAACAATATATGTCATATATAACAAAGATCAAGAAGCAGTACAATACTACCAACAGATTTCCAAAAATAGTAAGTAATTAGTCACACTTTATGTGGGGAAATATTGTGTATTTATATAGCATAGGAAGCAATAGAGTACTATTGTGGTGATTTAACCCTTTTTTCTTTTATTTCCTCAGCTCAGATACAAACCTAGGATCTCTTGCACACCAAATGAGTGCTGTATCAACTGAATTAAGGGGGTTAACCCAGCATTTTTCAAATTTTTGTCATCTATGCCCTACTTCTTTTTTTAAATGAGTGAACTAAGTGTCAAGACATAATACACGGATACGTGTTAAAATGCTATATGTTTTGTAGTAATTACTTATTTTTTTCATTAATAAAAACTATATTAAAACACTAAATTTTGCATTATTGCACTATTGACTCTACCCTAATTGCTCCTGTCCCCTCAAGAGATCATTTGTGCCCCACTAGGGTGGATGCCCCACACTTTGAGAAATGCTGGGTTAACCCACTAGTACCTGCTATTAATATTCTATTTTCTTTAACAGCTCAAACTAACATACTATCAACAGTCTTCCAGAATGAATAAGTATTTATGGAGGCTCCATGTGGCACAATCATATATATATGTGTGTGTATATACTTTATAGGTTCTAGTAATAGGATTTTTATAAATTTGATTTGGAGAAAATGATAAGGACTTCTTACTGTTCTCATGTCACTAAAATGCTTCACAATAAATCAGTTTTATGTAATATTTTTTTTTAACTTTGTATTTTATAATAGGTTCTGTTGGAAAAGATTGACTTCTTCCATATTGGTAGGTTATTAATTATTAAAGTAACAAGAAAGAGAAACTTTGCATTAAAAACTAATAAAACTGGTAATGTTGCTACAGTAATAGAATATGTTTGTATGTTACATATAGTATTTTCTTTCACCACATACAAAAAAATACAATTCTTGGGAAGTAATCATGATAGCTTATAGTTTGGATGCAGTTAAATATTTGAGAACTATTGATTTATGATGACTATTTTTTTATGATTGTCCTTCAGTTAAATATTTTGTTGATTGTTTTAAGAACTTCATATTGCTGTCAACTTATTGCTCTGAAAGAGTTTTGTAAAGGACTTGAAACATTGGGATTGCATTTTCAGAAGTCGCACATTAGTACCCGTCTAATATAGTGTATTGCAACTTAAGTGATAATTTATAATTTAAAACAAAGTATGGTTGTGGTAATTATTCATTTTAAATTTTGGAGTGAATTTCCTCACCAATGCTTGTTTGGAGGTGAAATTTTAAAATACTTACACAATTCTTCATTGGGACCTGGAGAAGAACTGTATTAGTAGTTCAAAATGCCACCACCAAATACTGGCATGGATCAAGCTTGTTAAATACACAAAATTAAATATTCTCTTGATATATGAATTATAAATTCAGAAACTTTAATATTCTATTAAGAAATAATAAATGAAACATTATTCAATGAGTATCAATCTAAAGAATCATTCATTTAAGTTCTTGTTTTTATGGTTGTATGAGAAACTAAAAACTACAAGATTGTTAGTATTTTGTGATCAAACTCCTTTTGCTATACACTTATAGCAGACACAGATGAGATGATTCATCAGATCGTAACAGTTTGTGGATTTGTGAAAACTTTTTTTATATTTTATATTTGTCATTAGAAATAAACTGTACTTTTAGTTTAAAGTATAAGTTGTATTTTTAATATCTGGTTTACAGATGGGGGGGGGGGGTATATAAGTATTTCCTAATTGATTAATCAACAACCCGATTAATTCATTAGTCCAGTGTTCCTCAAAACCATGGTTTATACAAGCAAAAAAATAATAAAGTTAGTGGCATGTTCTGCCACCCAGCAGATAGTTGTAATAATTAGAAACCCTAACTTTTATTAGTTGATTATTTTTGTGACAATTTAATTGTGATTTAAAATAATCAATTATTGGAATAATCAGACTAGGTTCAGTTAATCAATTTAGTTTATTTGATACTAATTGCTGTAATTACTACTAAAAAATAATTGATTATATCATGTACTATGCCCAGCTCTTATCTGGTTCATTCTTAATGAAGAATTGCATCATATGCATTAAGTTCTTAGTTGCATTTACTTTTTATTATGCATGTACTTTTTTCAAATTATTTGCTTTGGTGCAGCACTAAACAAAACCAATTTTAAAATCTAGTTACCAGTTTCATATTAATCATGATACCACAAAAGTGCTGAAAATCTGCTTGTTTTCATAAAATTGAATCTTTACTATCACTGATCCAGTTGAGCTAAATAGGGTTGAATAGTTCCAAAGTTTTGTACTAATTTGATCAAAAATATCCACTATAAACAAATGTGTTTCATGTTACAGAAAAACAGTTAAAACTAAGTCTTTAGACAATTATTTTACATCATATTAGCTCAATTATGTACTGTTTTACATACACTTATTCTTAATTTTTAATATAAGCATGTATATTCCAATAGCTAATGTTAAAAATTAAGTTCAGTATTGACTGTGAATATTCTAACACTAAAGCATTCGCAATTTGGAATTAAAGTAATATAAATTTTTACAGTGACTAGTGATTATTCTCATTAAAAATCAAAATAAATAAAACAGTTTTCAGTGTTGTATTAAGCTAGTCTTAACACAATTGCTACTTGATCACCTTACATGCAACATACCTTAATGAATCCAAGTAAAAAATCATTAATCATTAGTAATCACATTACATTATCTTGATGTAAGTTGTGTAGTACATATTGTTAAGTTAATGAAATTTTTCCCCTCTTTTTTATATGTTATAAACAGAGAAATATCAGCACATTGACTACAGATGAAGTTATTCTGGATAAAATTGGAAACAAAGGGATAGTGACATTAAATCGACCAAAGGCTTTGAATGCTCTAAGTATGACAATGATCAGAAAGATCTTAAATCAAATGAAGGTATAAGTTGCTCAGAATTCTTAGTTCTGAATAAATATTTTCATTTACAGTTTCACTTTTTAATTATGATGAAACTTCATCATGTACTTTGATTCAATGAAAAATAACCTTAGTGGTAGTCAAATACAAATAAAGCTTATATAAAATTGTTTCATTTGAAATTTAATTACTGTATCTAAAAGTTTGTATTTGAAGTACTGGTATTTGAAAAAGTTTATTGTCACAAATTCATAGATTTAAGTTTTATGTCATTAAGAATTACAGTTGCCAAGTTTCATTATTGTTTTATCAGTTGTCAATATGTGTAACACACAGGCATTTCTGAAAGAATTTCTTTTTATAAAGCATTAAAAATTAGTTTTATTTTCATTATTTTCTTGCATTACTTATCACTTTATTTTAGTAACTGACTTGCTTAGCTTTAAATTCTGTTTCCTTGAAATATAAGTTTGCTAATACACACCAGTTTTTGATGTATGATGTGGACATTTAACATGTATGATTTTTATATATAAAGAATTTTTTACATGCAATACCTGCTTCATTAATATATTTTTAAAAATGAGATTCCGATACCTCCTTTCAGAGATATAGCTATTCTCGTTCAGTGCTGCCCTCCATATGCAAAATGTTTATGCATGCCACAAGCCTTGAGCTCCCACGTACTCCATAATTAACATGGTTCAACTGCATCTTGCATGTAATTCATCATGCGACAACCCTCCACCAATAGAAGTGCAACACACCCTCCTGACGCATGTGATTCCCTCTATTCCATTCTATTGAAGTATTTGAACTATTTCTTCTTGTTTGGCAGTCCTATCATCAGGATGTTTCTTTCTTCAAATGTCATATGAAATGGGAATATTCTTCTGTGTTTTGTTTTTTTCCAACTTCACTTTAACACTTTCAAGTGATCACCTATCTTTATTGTTCTTCACATTAGTTTATGTTCCCACTTCAAAAGTGATCTCATTTACTTCCAGCATACTTACAGCTTCAGATGGCGGTACTAGACAAGGAATTGTTGGCTTTCACGTGTCAGGAGATTGATCATTATACAGTTAACCTTCGTTGAGCCTTGTCTTTGTCTATAGCGTGCAGTCTACAAAGATATTTACACTATAGCATGCAGTCTACACAGATACTATCATCATCACCATTTTAATGATTCACTAAAACATAATTTCTTGCTACATAATTTATATCTATTAACAAGATGTGTGTTCCAAAATAGTACTTTAAATTTAGGTTATAATTGCACTAGTTTTGATAGTTGGAACTTGTTTCATTCCGATTATACTTTCCCCCAAAATGTTATATAATGGGATTTTGTACTTTATTAGTTTAAAAGCATTATTTATAATAACTGGTGCCAATTACAAATAAACAAAAGTTAAAATGGTGATGGTATCTGTGTAGACCATATGCTATAGTAGCATCAAACATTTTGACTATGGTCTGCTGACTTTGGACAGATAAACATAGATGGTCTTACCTATTTAGCAAACTGGGCAATTGCCTAGGGCCACACACATGGAAGGGCTCCTAATGCTATGCCTTTTAATCTACTTCTGAGTTTTCTTATTATTATGGGGCCCCATTTACTGAATTCTGCTCCGGGCTCCAGAATGACTAAGACTGTTTCTGCAAATACGCTGTAATATTGTTATAAATTTTGAATATTTTTATCTTAATATTATTATTTGTTATTTGGGTTCAATAACTTAAGTTTAGTGAGATTTGTAAATACTTATTGTAAGGTTAGGGTTTTAAATTAGAGCTTAGTCATATTCTTTGTAATGCAACGAGAGATTAGGATTAACAACTAAACAAGTGTCTTTGTTACTTTAGACTTACCTGTCATTAATTTTACTGGTAAGTCATAAAGTAGGAAAATTATATTGTTTTCTTCAACACATTTTTATTGTCAATACACATGTACTTAATTTTACAATATAAAAACTATTACATTTTTGTAATTATTTATATTTTCTACTTTATAAAAGTTATAATTTTCCTGTACTGAAAATTTATTTCTGATAACTACTTACCTGCTCTCAAACTTCCCACTCTTCCTCCCCAATGAAAATCAGTGCTCCAACTTTCTGCCAAAACTCAGTGATAGTTCGGTTAAATCGAATATTAGGAATCGCAAGCGTCAGGAGGGTGTGTTGCATTCCTATTGGTAGAGGGTTGTGGCATGATGATTTACATAAGAGATGCAGTTGTACCACATTGATCATGGAGTACGTGGGAGCTCAAGGCTTGTGGCATGAGAAAAAATGTTTGCAATAGAGAGCAGCAATGAACAAGAATAGCTAAATCTGTAAGAGAAGGTAAGTACTTATCAGAAATAGATTTTCAATATAGGAAAATTATAACATAGTGTATATGAAGGAATACATAGCTTAATAATGAGTTCATTTATTTTTTATCTTGTCAAAATAAAAGTATATTATTAATAAACAAACAATTGTTCAACACAAAGATCAAACTTTAAACTTTTATTTGCTTGAATTAATTATTTTTACAATGCTGTATAGTAGTACTTGCTTGTTATAGTTCCTTGATAGGATCATTTAATATCTGATTTTAGGCTTGGGAAGTAGACCCCAATATAAAGATGATTATAGTTAAGGGGACAGGGGACAAAGTCTTTTGTGCTGGTGGTGATGCTCGAGGTAAATAATATATAATTTTATGCTTTTAGCAAATTGTTGGAGTGATACAAAAATTTTTACAGGTATCGGTTTTCTTGATTATAAATAATTTTAATAGACTCCTTGATCAGACTTGTTTCCTCATTTGAGCTTCATCCTGTTATCTTAATTTGTATGTTGTCTACTGGCTTTCTACATAGTTGAGCATATAGTTGAACAGAGGAATTGGTTTTGTAGCTGGAGTTGCATGTTATTTACAGAAAACGAGTAAGGAAAGTGATAAGAAATATGTATGAAAGAGCATGCAACTAAAGCAAAAGAAACAAAAGTCTACTGTCTCACTGCATGTTCTGGCATGTGGGATGTCAGTAGACAACCAGCACTTTAACATAATAAGATATAGTCTGAAAGAGGAAATACTTTGGAAAAGGGAGTATTTATGTATTAAATTACATCAACCAAGGCTGAACAAGAATCAGTATATTCTGCCATTAATGATGAAAATGAGAATTGTTATTGTCAGTAGTTTGCACTTTTTCTCGTTATTGTTTGTATGTACTAGTGGGTTAATTGTAACAAAATTAGCAATAAAGCAGTAGCTTAATTTCAATACATTGATGTACATCATTCAACAAAGCATCAAACTGAGTATTAAAGTATTTTTACATGAAAGCTACCTTTTTTTTAAGACTCAAGTTTTAATGCTGAACTCGTGGATTTTGCACAGTTAATGACAGTAACATGTCTCTCCACAAAAGTAAATTTGTATTCCTATGCCAATCCACTTATATGTACACCTGTAAGGCCAGTTATATACAACTTTGAATTTGAATATGCCTAAGTTGTAAGGACATGGTTTAATTGTAATAAAAAAAAAGGAAACATGAAGATTATATTTAAATTAAATATGACTTGACAAGTAATTGTGTTTTTGTATTGATAAATATTCATCTTAGAAGTTTATTATGTTTCATATATATTTTTTAGGCTCTACAAAATTCCAGGAAGGCAGCTAAATAAAACTGGTATTTATATTTTGGGACTGTAGAATTGAATTTGATATCTATGATAAAATACTGGCAGTATATTTAAAGAAAGTCAAGAATATTATATTAAATGTGTTCATGAAGTGATATGTATTTATGTTTTTCTTAAAGCATAGAAATATTTTAGGATAAACAGAACACTAAATAAAATCAGAGGTAATAACATTTAGCATAGAGTCAGTAGACTACATGTAGGGATGGTCAAGCTACTCAATAGGCATAATACAAATATGCACACTAAAAAATCAACAATGACAGAGAGTTTTACTTTAAAGGATGATTGCCACTTTCATTTGTTTTTCTACCCAACAAGGCAGGAAACCATCGCTAAGATATCAAACCAGAAAGTGACCAACCCACCAAATTGTTCATCTTTCTTCTTGTTTCAGTCAAGATGACCCTACAACTGCTTTATCACTGATGTCAATTTAAACCTAAATCCACTCTGTGTGTTTTTTGGTACTGTAAAATGCATACTTGACTTTACTGTTACTGCAGTTGAAAGTTATATATTCCTGACTGTTGGTATGCAGTTTGGTTATTATAATATCATGGTCATGTCAGAGTAGGCATCAGTGTAGTGTAACTTAAAGCATAGG